ATCCTGTGGTAAAAGTACTTGTGAAACTTTTCAACAAAGTTCTTCATGAAGCTTGCATTTTAGCTTAGCACCAGAGCAATGGAAGAATGCCATCGTCACCATCATCCACAAAAAAGGCGACATTGCAAAATTTTGCAATTATCGGCCGATTAGCTTGCTCTCTCAGATGTATAAACTTTTTACAAAGATTTTGACCATCTGGCTTTCCAGTGAACTTGACAAAGCGCAGCCTATTGAGCAGGCTGGCTTTCGGAGCGGCTTTTCAACCATCGACCATATCCACACGGTTAATCAGCTGATGGGGAAATGTCTCGAATTTAACCGGGCCCTTGTCATGGCCTTCGTCGATTATGCGAAGGCCTTTGACAGTATCAAACATTGGGCCGTGTTCCACGCTCTTCATCGCTGCCACATCGATCGACACGTGCTCCGGGAGCTCTACCGTTCAGCCACTCTGCAGCAGCTCAATCCGGCGAGGACTTGAGGATGTCGTAAAAACCCTTAAATGGGATAACCGCCGCATTAACATCAATGGTGTAACACCATTTGTCTCACCTAAGATTCGCGGACGGTCTCGTGCTATTTGCAGGTTTTGACGATCTCCAAAGGATGCTGGAACAACTATATGATGCTTCTTTGAGAATTGGCCTAAGGATAAATATGTCCAAGACGAAGATTATGGCGAATCTCTCCAGTCCGTCAAATACCACTGTCACGGTGGGAAATGAGACGCTGGAGACAGTCGATCAGTACGTCTGTCTCGGACATGTTCTGTCCTTTGGCAAAGAGCATCAGCCTACAGAGATCTCAAAAAGAATCCAGCTGGGATGGGCTGCGTTTAGCAAGTTAGGTGACATCCTTAAATCAGGTAAGGTTCCACAGTATCTGAAGACCCGCTTGTTTAATCAATGTGTTCTGCCCACCATGACGTATGGTGACGAGACGTGGACGCTCACTCAGGAGACTATATACAGGTTGAGAGTCGCACAGAGGGACATGGAGCGCGCTATGCTCGGCATCAGCCTTCTAGACCGATTTCCGAACGTTGAGATCCGACGATGGACGAAAGTCCAGGATGCTGGAACTCGAATCATGGAACTCAAATGGGGATGGGCGGAACACCTAGCTAGGCAAGGTGATGACAGGTGGAGCTAGACATCGACTGATTGGTGGCCGAGGATGGGCAAAAGATGCGTCGGGCGCCCTGTAGCAAGGTGGGTCGACGACATAGTACACGGAACCGCGATGGATGGCACAAACTTCGGGAGGCCTATACCCAGCAGTGGGTGAAATCAGGCTGTGAATGATGATAATGCCTTATCAAGCCTCAATGTCCGGACAAACCTACCGTATGTCCTCATGGTAAACATTTGGGTTTCTACAACTTATCTTTAGGAAACAGAGATGGCATTGTATATCATAGTTCTTCAACTGCCAATTAAAGCAACAATGAACTCAATCCCTAAAACCCAGGGAAGTACTGCCACCTTACCTATTCTGCCGCCAAGCAGTGATGTTAGCATAGTTAGGTTTGGGACTTGCCAACTTACGTCTAAGGGTGACGGGCGCAGTGGCAGTGCTCCTCAGACCTTTGCATATTTAAAGATCTGAATGGCATTCCGCTGTTATGGACAGGCGTGTAACTTACCATCAGGCGCATGACTCGTTCGTCCCGTCACATGATATTAAAAAGAAAAAGCAGAAGAAAATTCCAAGTGTGCGTCGTTTTAAAGGGGCAAACAAATTTTTATCATAATTAAATTTAAAGAAACAATTAAATTTACTTAATTGTCTTTGTTTTTATATATATTCCAAGTTTGGTGGCAATATTCAATTCTGGTGCAACCGATAATCGTTTTAGTGGCGTTTCTAAGTATTGGTGGCGAGAAAAATTTTTAATTGCTTATATCTCTGAAATTAATGGAAATGGTTATGTCCCGGTCACGTATATATAAATGAAATGTGTCATTTTATTGCAAACGAGGCTCGGATACTGGAAAATCTAAAAAAAAAAACTGCGCCACCAAAATTTACAATGAAATGCATTTGTTGGCTAAATATCGACTGATTACTTCAGACCAGCTTACGGTTAGTATTTTATTAGTAGATTTACTCAATAGCAAACGTAAGAGAGTAAGTATTGCGTAGAAGTCTATATGAATATAAATGTTTGCTTAAATCAACTCACATGAACATGCTGAAAATGGAACGGATATTCAAGTTTCGTTATTTCATCTGCCCGTCACAGACATTAATATTTTCCTTATCAACAAAACCAACATTCGTGTGTAGGTATAGAATAGACTATACTGCGCAACATTGTGGTGCATTGGCGGAAAAAACTATTATGATTATATTATGAACATTTATCTAAACAAATTTTACATTACATACAACACTATTCACTCCATACATACAAAAACTCTAAAAACAAATTGCCTATAGTTGTTGTATGTACATTACGTAGAAATACGAGACTAAACATATTCCTTGCAGATATAACCATTTTTGCGCAAAAAGTTGTATTTTCAAGGCTAATTTTAAATTAAATTGAATAGAAACTTACGATACTTGTGTTTTTTTCATAAAGCCTAGAATATAATCTTATCGGTACACAAAGGATTTTATTCTTTTAATATTTCTCATTTACGTTTTAAAGAAAGCTTAATTTAAGACCAATATTTAATAAAACTTTACCTTTTTACCGCCGTCGACCGCTGTTTACTTGTACTTATCACTTAATCGATTTATTAGTCTGTCTTTATTAGATTTTATAAATTTTAGCTGCCACCAACTACCACCTTGGATATGAGAAGACATTAACTAACTGCCCTCAAAACCAACGATATATAATATAAACTAATATTGAAATAAATAGTTTAAACGAAATATTTTCTTATGTGTGATAAAAATTATTAATACCGAAATTGTTAATAGAATAAGTATATTTTAATATCAAAAATGTTTATTTCATCCTTAATATACCTTAAAAAAATCAATAATCTTGTTTGACCTATAGGTAAATATGTAATATTTTTCGCGGTTCCATAAAACTGCACCACGAAATGTTAAACATACATATATTTTTATTACCACAAAAATATTTATTTCATCTTTATATACCTTAAAAAAAACAATAGTTATGTTTTTTATATTTTCCGTGGTGTCATACAAAGTGCACCACTGTGCGTCATTGAAGTTGTGAAATCACCATAGGTACCTGTTGTAATTTTTTCTTAGTCGTGATTTCTAAATGATTGTCTGTACATAACCATTTTATTTTTTGATGAAAAAAAATATTTCATTCATCATTTCGTTTACACCTTGTTTATAAAATAAAAACTGCCACGATTTTCAATTACATAGTGTCAAAGTGCTTGTTCCGATTTCAGTAAGCTCTGTGTATCAAATACTCTATTGTCCACATAATTCAACATCCAATGTAACTTTAAAACAATGGTCTCATGTGGAATATATATAATGCGTTTTAAAGAAAATCTTTTAGTTGCATATCGCAATGGTGAAATTGACGATTTCAATTTATTACCACGCAATTTATGTTTCTTTAAGCTTAATGCAGGCTTATTGTTATGTACCGTCGTCTGTCGCTCGCTCGTCGTCCTGCATATGGTTTAATAATACATGTGAGTGCTGTTCAAACATTACTTTCACTGTGCGCCAACTAATTTGTTTTTGTCTATTTGATAAATGCTTCAATTAAATTTGACTCTTAGGCAACGGAATCGTTGCGTAAGCGTTTTGTACGACTGTTGTAGTTGGATTTAAACAACAAACCAATCGTTCATGTTCAACAATGATATTAATCGTTTGGTTCTACAGACGGATGTTGTAGAGTAACTTGTAAATCCATTATTTGACCAGCACGTCATAACACTTAAAAACGCTAGTTGATAAAAGCGTTCTTTTTTTTTAAATAAGCGACTCTCAAATTAAGGAATTCCTTTATGAACCCGGGACCTCCTAACCCAGCGCCCACAGTGCAAAACAGTTGGGCGTATGCGGATATTGAGGGATTGCTATGGCTACAATAATGATTATAATAAATACTCAATTTTGTCCACCTATGGGCAGTTATAGACTTTAGCTAATAGATCAGTAACATTTATCACTAATGACAAATGACCCTGAGAATCTACTTGGATATGTATGTACATAATATTATAATGTTACTCGTAAATACTGTAAATATTTTAAAACGCCTACACTGCACTGTCGCCAATCGACAACAAAATCGAAGACCAGCTGTAAGCCGGCTGGGTAGAACCAATTTAAGAAATCAACCTTTTCTGTATGATTGTATGGCACTTGAAAAAAAGGGTATAAAAAAGTGATATGATAACTTTTTTCAGGTGTTGACGAATGTCCGGACTGGATGATAGTAATGCGGAGCAACTGCTCCATAACTTACTGGCAGGCTTTAAGAACTTGCGACAATCCTGAGGTGGTGTATGTCAACAGTATTTGCGGCTTCGCTCGATGCGACTGCCCTTATAACACAGTGCTGGATACAGACACAGGCAACTGCTATGATCTCGACAACTGCCCAGTGAAACTACATTAATGTGACCCAATATATTACTGTTAAATGATTGTTAGCCTTGAAGTTTTTGTTTAACAAGTCACAAGAAAGTTATCGTAGTATTTTATTGGTAATTAACTATTTATATTTAAACATTTGAAAATCATGACATCGGAATGCAAGACTTTTTAAACGAAACAAAGACATACCAGTCTGAACAGTCCAGCCATACACTGTTTAAAACATTATTAATAATAATACACTTTTGAGTTGATAGTCGTCTTTTTATTTTCGAAACATCCAAACAACAATAGAAATTTACAAAAAATAAATCATACAGATTTTTTTACACGAGTGTCAAAACGTCACGTGATGATTTTTGACGTACATTACATATGACAAGGACAATGACAGTTACAGATGTTTATGAGATCATGTGTTACTTAAAGCTGTATTTTTCTGTTTTATCTAAAAACTAAACATATTTTCATAATAAAAATGCTTCGAATGTGTGTCCGCAACATTTGTACATCAAACAAATCGATGTCAAACTCGGTTTTATTGAAGGAAATCGCACATAACCTAAAAATTGTTACAGTTTGTCCCAATCTCATAATACGGCATTTCGCAAGTGATATAGAGGAGGATAAAAAGTTAGAGCGTATTTACTATGGGCCTTTGACGCCACAAATAAAAGCGGTGAAGGTGTTCTCCCTCAGTTCGAGTGTTGCTGGATTACTAGCACAGCCTATCATTATCAGAGAAGCAGCAACCATAGGCAGTACCTCCTTATTAATAGCTCTAAGCTCTGTAGTGGGATTTTTCACATTCGTTACGCCCTTGTTACTGCACGTCATCACTAAGAAATATGTGACAGAAATTTCCTACGATCCTACAACATCTACATACAAAGCAACCACAATCAACTTCTTTTTAACACCCAAAGAGGTACGATGTCTTTACATTCTTTTACTCTTTACATTTGTTTATTTAGCAGATTATTAGTGATAACGAGAACTTTGCTGATTATTTAAATGAAAACTGGTCTCTGGAAACACATAGGAAAAGGGCATGAAGCATGTTAAATAAAATATCCAACTTCCATTTAATTAATCATTTTAACATACCTGTAAATATATTTGATTTTAAAAGTAAGTGTAAAGCACAAGATATTTTGGTTTGAAGTTTATTGGTAATAGGATCACCCAATCTCAATGGAAATAGAAGCAGGTGATGTCACTAGCTAAGAAATGTGTAATCAAATACTACTTTGTTACTGCATTCCAATTTGACTTTTGGACATGGAAATTTAGGGATGTGTATGCCTATTGAAAAAGCTCACAGGCTTCCTCAAATGCCTCTTAACCTTATGGTGCATTTACACCATGTTGTATGTTGTGCTTCGTCGTGGGGTGCAGCCACGGTTTCACTGCAACCTGTTCGGACGACCGTCGATTGCCAGAGACGATCGTGTCACCCATAGCGTTTATATCTAGCCACTTCGGTTGAATTTGGCTGCAAAGTACGATCATCAGATGGCTCAGTATTTACACTGGGTAGCTTGCCACATGCAGCAGGCAAGTGTAGGTTGCCTATCAAATTGGTGTAAATCCCTCATTAGGGACCGATTCTGAAGAAATCAACATTGGCATTACCATTAATAGTGGCCACATTGAGACGACAGATGCTGGATCAAGTCCAGTTGGATTGAAGAAATTTTTTATTGTTTTTATCAATAATAATAACAAACTATAAGTATTTTTACAAAAAATAAATGAGTATCACGGTAGTAAAAAGCTTTATGATATTCAATCAAAATAAATATTGCAATACCATTAGTAACAAGCAACATATTTTTTCAGCTGGATTTCAAAGTAGATGATGTTGTAGTACCAGACATACCTGGTATGTTCACCACGCTACTTGCAAAGAACAAACCATTATTTATTGAAGCACGGCACTTTACCAACCCAAAGTACTATGCTAAGATGATGGGATATGACAAACCTATGGACTTCAAATTAGGAGAACAAGATACTGCAGACAAATAGGAATAGATTGAAATTGTTATTTAAGTAGTTAATAAAATTATCTTTTCGTTTGTTTGGGTATTTATTACTGTAATTGCTTTCCTGGGCTTGCACTGGTCATTGTCACTGCAAACGGTATTTTCATCTACAGCTATCACTAATTACATCTCGGTGCCTCTAGAAGTAATATACTACGTATATAATAACATATTCGATTGTGAATGCCATAGCATTGTAACGAGTTGAGAGATGATGTTAATAAAACTTAAATAATCATTTCCTATGAAGGGATCCATGATTAGTAATCATTGATTACCTAAACATGCCATCAGTAGCTGCTGAGATCGACCAACTTAAAACTAAATCATTACGGAAGCTGTGGCACAGGTCGTATTACCAAAATTGTCCTACCTTGTTAACAAGGTTCACTTAAGGCTTGGCGGTCAATAGCATACACAATCATAATAAAAATCATCTCCTATGAAATTTTAACCACAACTGGCTTACAGGAGTCTTGTCATAGTTCACTATACAATGTCAACTTTGACAAATAATGTTATGTAATATGGTTCTTTGAAACTTATTTACAAAAATGCAACAATGTGACACTGCTAGTACAGTCAACAACACATCAAGCTACACATTGAGGTATCTTGTTCCGTTGCACTGGAGGCGATTTTAGAACAAAAATGTGTGTCTGATGTGCTGTTGTCCATACATAGTAGCAGTAAATAATCAAACATAACTTTAGTTAAAATATTCTTTATTAGAACCTTTTTATAATTACTTTATCATCATAATAATTTCTTGATTAAATACTTTGCATCCCTCAACGTGTCAGAGGTATAAAGTGTGTAAGGTCTACCAAATCTCATGAAAAATAGGGAAACCGAAAATGTGATATTAGCAACATTGGCAATGAAATGTTCTTGATAATATATTCTCATGTTACCAGTCGGTGAGCATAAATATTCGGTCAAGTCAGAAATGCCAAATTGAGATTGCTATTTGATTAAATTTTATTTTGTTTTTAATATCGTGTCATGAGTTTCTGTAGGCGTACACTAAACAAGTTTGTTAAAGTAGCTAATTGACTAGACTAAATTATAAAGAAGCAGATGTTTTGAGCGTAAGTAAAAAAAATTTTGCAACACCATATAATATTAAAAATAAAATCTAGAAAATATAACAAATAACTTAAAGAAAATAATTGACTAAAACATACAAATAATACAAAACAAATATTACTGAAACAAGTTTTTAAATAGGACTGTTATTTTTACAGGGAAAGTGGTCAAAAAATGGTTACAATATTATTCATTGGCCTGCTCAGCCCTTCATCACTGCGATCAGTAATTTATCTATGGATCATCAGAATCATCATTTTTTTAAACCACATCAAGGTATCAAAGTAGGGAGTTCCCTGTACTATTATACTCTAGCCAAATTCAATATAGAATATTTATTAATAAAACGTTGCTAGGCAACCAATAATGACAGTTGTAAAGAACTTCTTGTCTTTGCTTATTATTTAGGCTATACTCTGATCTAGAATCCAAAAGATTTTTTGTAAACAAAGAAATGTCATGATATATCCTGTCAAAGTAACAGCCCAGGCATACAAAACAAGTTTTCACCAATGATCAATACAGTAGTGATGGCACGTGATTTTGTTTGTACGGAAAGTAAATATTAATTTAAGTGTTGATTTCTATGACCAAACTTTAACACTCAAAACAGCTCTGCCAACGGCCTGCACGCGTAATTGGAATTTAAATAGATAAGCGGTGATAGTTACCTTTTTTTAATTATTTTTTATTTATTTTTTAATTATTACAAAGTTTTTAATATGTATAGTTTATGGATAAATTTTTGATACCTATTAATGCTTATTGCTAGCAGTAATGGTGGTAAAAGGACAACAAAAAATTTATTTTATATTCTTTTACTATCTCATTCAGCATCAATTTCCGAGTCAGAACTTGAATTATTACTCGAACTAGAATGTTTGCAGTATTTTCTTTCAAACCAAAATATCATTAGGGATGACAGTTTTGTAAATAATTAATTACTGGTAATTTTATGTTGCATAATTACTGATAATTAAATTTCTACAGAACAAAATTCATCACAGACATGACTTCAGGATTAGTTATCACTAGCCTAATTGAATTTCATGGGAAAATATTGTAGTAACTGTAAAACAGCTTTGAGGTGAAAGCCCTGAAAATCATAATTATGTTTGTTGATATTTATTCTACATCGAATTTAGCTAGAGTACTAGGAGTACCAGCGCAACGAAAGCTACTTCGGTGCACAACCCAAAACACCCAGCCAGAACCAACTAAATGGGGTACCTCCTCACCCAGCAGCCACAGAGCAAACCAGGGTTGTTGCAGGTCTTTTACACAACAGCGGATGTTGATTTTTTGTATTAAAAAAACGTGAAAAATATAACTGGAAGCCAGTACCAATATTACTAAACAACTGAAAACAGTCATAACTTTATACTCGTGAAGATAATTTCACACAAGCGCTACAGAATTGGAATGTACAGTTATACATATAATTATTCTTATTTACAAATTTTAGAAGTCATACAATCCCAAATTCAACTCAACTTCCCATAAACTTACTTAACAAATCATATATAGTCCGCTATCCCCAGACTGGTTATTGTAATACCACTGTCACTGTAACCTTTGACATATATTTCATTAATTTAAAAACAAGTCTCATAGTTTATTGTCAATACAATTTCATGAATATAAAGAACTAACAGTTTTGTTTAGATGTACCATTAAGTGATTCTTAAACATGGAAGTTCTACAGTATCAAATCATCAAATATTCTCCTTTAGTGGCGGTATAACCATAACCTTGTCTCAAAGATTTCAGTAATATCAAACACTTTCTTTTATACAAATACGCAACATCAATATAAAAAAAAATATAGCAAGCACCAAACTTTCGTATTATAACTATACAATTACATATTTTAGGAGTCTTATGCACTCCGACAATTTGCTGTTGAGTTTATACACCAATAGTGTTCAAAATCGCTTGCGCGAATACACACGAACACCCATGTACACTAACAAAGAAATGTTTACAACTCTCTCTTACGAATAAGTTTTCAATTTCTTACATAATTTACAATACTTTTCACCATAAATTTCAAAACGTGTTTGCACCATTCGAGTACAAAATTCGAATACAAAGAAAATTTGAATTAATTAAACTTTTACATAAAATATTCGATGCCGAAGGCGTTATAATTTAATAATATCAATGTAATCTGTGACAAATATTGCTTCATAATTTTCTCAAGTCATAATTTGGATTTATTACCTAATACTCAGTGACAGTCACAAACAATATACAAACTGTCAAAATTCATTGAATAACTTCCATGATGTTGAAATTATAGACACACTGTATCGATACATGGTGGAACGGTAAAAACTATTTTGATTGACATTGAATGAATAATGAGCTATTCTTAATAAATTTGATTTCTTAATAAATAACCAAAAAAGATCTACCAATGTTAAACTAAAAACCGTCAAATTCATAAGTGACTCTTTGTGTCAAATACTTTAATATTTCCGTTTTACTCTTGGGTTATTGTAATGCTTGTATTTTGGAACGGAATATTTTTAATTTATTTTTAAGTTAATAATGCATTGACAATATTCCAGCTTATTTAGACTTGAATATTGTTTATTTATTATTAACTTAAAAATAAATTAAGAATATTCCGTTCCAAAGTACAAGCTTATTGTTCTCATGTAATTGACAATTACCATAATAAGAATAATGTATCTTTGAACTTTAATATTATTTGTTGCAATTACAATAACACACAGACCAGCGCACAACAGGTCGCCTTATTGATAAATAGCACTTTCTTCCAGTCGATCTTAGTATAGAAAATTTATGAAACGCAAATATAGTGCAATCAAAGAATATCTACAATAATAATATTATTTGAAATTAATACTCTACAATTATATTAATAATGGATACATGTATAATAATATTTACTGATGTATCTTGTAGGAAAAAACATGTCAAAAAATATTATATATATAAATATACAACATGTTTTTATTAGATACACTAAGCTCCCAGAAGTGACAAGAAAGAGACAAACAAAGGTAATGTTTATCACACCTGTATACATAAATGAGATAAAGATCTGATAAAGAAGAATGTAAACCACGTAACTCGAGTTAGTGTAGATAGATGAAAACAGATGATGTTAACTATTTTCCGACCCTGAATTTTTTTTATTAATAAGCCTCATTGTTGTCCCAATTTCTGGGCAATAGCCTACACGTGCTTCTTCTTTTTTCCTTTACTGCAACATGGCAAGTTTCGAAATCGGCAGTCGATTTAATCTTAGTACGTTAGCCACAATTAAAGATATTATGCAAAATCATTTTCCACATTTAGACGAAAATGTACACTGTGGCAATTTTACAAACACTCCTGAGGTGCAGGTTTCTTGTCATTTGTGCCTTATAAGTTGTTCTTGAACATTTTATATCTCAATTTTGTTATAAAATGTGTTTGGGCTATTGCAAAATATGAGAAAGGGCTACGTACCCCATAGCCCTCTGTAGTTGCATCATATTTCCTGTCTTTTGATCAATAACACATTTCGTCTGCTTAATGTGGCATTTTCCACAAAATCTCCAAATTATATACCTGTTGTAAGAAAATCACCATCATTCTGCAGATAAAACTCTTATTGAGTTTATAGCTTTTTTGTTATGGACTTTCACGCGCAGAAAGATAGTGATTTTCTTACCATAGCTATATAAATTAGACTTTTTGTGGAAAATGTCAATTATGCGGTTTTACCTTTAAACGGACAATTTTTGAATAGAAGACCGCGCTTTACGCCATTACGTTGTACAGTAAAAAAAATTGTAAAGCTTTTTATTCATACTGTTCGTAAATCTTACCACAATATGGCCCAACTTCTTTATAATACATTTATAATATGTCGCCTCTTGAGATTGATCAAAATAATAATGATATCATCTATGAATAAACTATCATGTCGTAGTTCATTTCGACGTCAGACACTAGAACCACTTCTCTCCTTTAATTAATATTCAGCGAGTTATTTTTCCTATAAGTATCTCTTACATAGTATTCATATTCAGTCGTAATGCAAGGCATTCTCACTGGGGACTGGTTTATCGTCGATAATCTCTAAGGCGGCTGCGCGTGCGCGTGCTTTGGCCACCCATTCTACTCGTACGAAAGCAGCTGTACCTAATGTTGCTAGCACCGCTAACACACTCAATTGGACTGTCAGCAGTGCTTGGGAAGAGTAGAAGAAGCACGCAGCCGCTGCTAGAGACTGAAATAAAAAGTTAGGATTTTACATAAGTCAAATAATCATTTATTCCATAGGTAAAATGTTTACAATTATTAACGTCATTTTTTAAATTATGCTCGTTCACTACGCTGACCTCCCTGAGAAGAACGCGCGAGAAACCCTAGGGAGTGCTCCTTTCAAACAAACTTAAATGCTACAGAATACATTTTGAATCATATTTGTGTGGAAACTAGACTCACGTTGTCTTTCCATACATCTTTATCTAACACGTAATCTACAATTTTGTAATGAGACTTTTCAAATAAAACACTTTTAATGTAAGTTTTAAACTTAGGAAATGGTAGTCTTAATATATGCTCCGGAATCTTATTGTAAAAACCTGTACTGATTACTGTTTGGCGGCAGATATAGGTAAAGTGGCCGTACTACCCTGGACGAATTCTTTCATAAGGAGCTCTACTGCTACTACTTTAGTATCATTTAAAATAATACTGTAGAAAAAATGTAATGTAGGTTACCAGACTATTGCGCTGGTAGCCTCAGATATCATTAAAAAAATGTCACAATGTTACAACCCAACACTCCAGTCAGCATTAAAAGGATCCCTATAGTCACTAGGTAACCAATCTATGAAGACCATATAATACATTCACAAATCCAAAGTGTCTAGGGATCGAGGTATTTTTCTTCATTATTTGATTACCTTATTAGAGTTAAAAAAAAAAATCTTTGTAAATTTATTAACTTATTTATTTAGTAGTTATTTATTTAAGCTATTTATTGTCACGGTGTTTGACCACCTTGATATCCTTTTTTTGATATTATTTTTGTGAAGTTATACCACTAGTTTGTTATAATTTTGTTAACACAAAGATCGAACAGTTATAAAAATTTCCTTCGATTCGGCTGTATTTTAACCAACAACGTCTTCCAGCAAACCGTGCCAGACGCTAAGCCAACTAAACCACGGAACGAACTATCGAACCTTACGAATCTTTTTAAATTATGAAGTTGACTAGAAAAGCCATTCCACCACCACCAACACGACATTTTCAGTAATTGGGAAAAATGTACTTGATCCTTAGACACTTCTATATAATTATATATATCCATTGTGCTTGAAGTATATAAAACAAGTGAAACTAGGAACATAAGACTTACCTGAGTAAATTTAAATAGAGCAAATGCAGAAGTGCTGTTATCCGCGTAGTTTCCGCCCAAGATTGAATAGATTTGTGTATTGAAGCACGCATCGCCGAAACCTAGTAGGAAACTGCAGAACATCGCAAGGTAAGGCGAAGGATCGATGTATGAGACGGCTGTGGTGTCGCCGAAAGGCGCCTCGGCGGGGAGATTGATGAAGATAAGGAAGAAACTCGCGAGATGGATCAGGTAACCCATTATTACGATCGGGTCGCGACCCCAGCGGCTTGTCTTTGAGCCGAGAATTCCGAAGAGAGCTCCACCTGAAAAACAGGTTAATTTTAATACATAGTATTCGATGTCTTTAAAGATAGAAGAAGAAGTATTCGATGTCTCTAAACAGTAAAATATTTTCCAAAATACTGTACACACATATAAGCATATTACGAAGTTTAAAACGTACTTACTAGAAATTTTCTTCTGCCTTTCTTATTTTTCTTACCAGTATTATTATAGTTTTAAATAAATATTGGCAAACATGCAATCGGCCTTATTTTGGGAGCATGAGCATTCAATAATTCATTTACAGAAATTGAGCTATGTCAGGCAGGTGGTGTGTGCGTATTTGTCATTAAAAAAACACTTTTTCATGTTGACCATGCTCTAAAGGCTCCCATATACAGAGGATTCCTCGTTTCGATCGATCGTGACGATAATCGTATCGATCCATCGCTACTCCCTTGGCGTTCAAGTTAATCGTTAACAACATAAACATACCCTATCGATCCGTCTCTGAAACGACGGATCGCACGGTGATTCACGCTCCATACTAAGGCGGTCATAAATACGTAACTCCGAAATTATTATTATTTTTTATTTTATTACGTTAAAATATGATTAGGTAAACGTAAATTAATAAAATTATACATTTTAAAAAATATTTGACAATATTTAGGTGTAAAAATGTCTCGCAGTAATTTTGTTTTTAGACGATGTATCTAAAACATTTTATACTGCGACTTTTAATGGTAAAACTGTGTAAATAATGATTATTTGTATTAACAATAACCACAAATGAATAAATTAAAACAATAAAAATACATAAAAAAGTTCATTTTACAAAATACAAACAAAACACAAATTATACCAAAATACATTAAATCTCAACAATATTAACTTTAAATACATAACAAGTCTAATACAGCTTTTGACAGTACACCTTTTTTTTTTAACAGGTAACTTTCGTAGACCTGTTATGAAGGGATCTGAATGAAGAAGCAGCCTATTTACTAAATCTGTGTTGGTCACAATGCGACTCATTTTACGCGTATGATTTTTTCTAAAAGACTTGATGTATTTGTTAGTCGCTTCAGCTGCTTCTTCAGACAACTCTCCGATTGACAACAAACCGTAATCTATAACATTAGCACCATGAATTAGAACTTTGTGAACGGAAGCAGGCATGTTATACCACGGATACTCGGCAACTAACTGCCGAGCCGTCTCTAAAGCGAACTCTTCGAAGTTCGTCTTATTAATATTATATCCCGAATTTAAACATTGAAGGATGATCCAGCAACGATCTAGGAGATCCTTCTTGATCCCAGTAATTTCAGCGGAAATTTCTGAATTCGAGAAAAACCGCCTGGCTGTATTACCATCGTTTGATGTTCCGCTTCCGCCACTTTTAGGCTTATCCACTATAAGCCCTAATCTTTCTCTAAATTGAGTCTGAACATATGATTTTTTTGCAGCAACAAGCATTTTGTCATTAGCGGACCTAGTTTGCCATTTCCTAACATCTAACTTGTACGCGACATGAACAAAATATTCAAAAAAACGTATTAACGCGTGAAGAGGTGATAAACCAAATTCATATTTACTCTCATCGACTTCCTTATTTAAACATTCGTCAATTTTGTTCATTTCACTGGGCAAGGCGTTACAAATAAAACATTTTGATGAAGAAACACCACTAAGTGCATTACACACTTTACCATCTACCATAGTAAGTTGCAAACAATGAGTAATGCGATATTCGCGATCTTCTTCCTTGAAAACAGTAGGCTGCAAGTTCCTTATTTTATCTTTAAAATGAGCTTCTTCCTCAACTGACACTGCAGTCGATTCCTTCAAATATCGGAGGCGTATAGGACGACAGTATCGAGTTGATGAAGGACGAGGATTTTTCCACAAAACTACTGAATTTTCTTTGTTATCTGTTGTCAAAACAAGCTGAAGTGGCACATACGAAGTAACAAACAGGCTACTGTCTTCAAGAGTGGAGTCAGAAAAACACTGTTTATATTCTGAATGCCCTGTACTGCCATCGAAACCCCATTTCCCTATCAAAGATATCTTATCTAGAGACTCATTAGGTACACTATCCAAAACATCTTTTTGAGACTTGAGAATCCGATTGGCAGTATGATCTAATAAACTTTGAAGTTCGACTTCGGCGGATGATTCTGTAACAGTAATATCTGAAGGATAACAGTGTTTTTTAGATTCCACGACACTTTGGTAAGATGGGAAAATGGTTTTTGAAAACTTATTGTCTATAAATTTCTTTACTAATATATATTGATGTCGAGTTAACTGAGCTTCAACAATGAGCGATAAAACTTCGCTAGAATCGATTTCAGGACAAGACAAGCTATCGGACGCATTGAGCAATGACTGTACAAGAGAAGGGTCTTGGTTAGACAAACTAGCCAATCTTCTCCTTTTTGTACGTTTACTGGTGTCGTCAAAGTTAATTCTCGGACGGCCATGCGATGAAGAAGTTGATGGTTTAACTTCGTCAAAGCTCTGAGATACACGTAACTCAGTTCGCTGTACATCAATATTTTCAACGACATGCAGCCAATCTGAATATTTTTCTAAGAATTTAGATCTAGTACGATTCGACTTTGCCCAGTAGTGGGAAATTCGTTTACAAATATTCTTAATTTTAAGGCTTAAAGTCTCTAAATCAATATTTTCGATGTCGTCAGAAAGGGATGATGTTTCGGTCAAAGTGCTCAGGACGTGTTGCATTTTTTCATTTGGATTACCCACTTTAGAGTGCCAAATATCAAAAATTGTCATCCTCGATACAGAACATTTGAAAAATGTACCTAAAACAATATGAAAGCTGAACTTAAAAAAAAATTAAAAATTCAATACTATGGACATGCATACTTTGACACCCCTTTAAGCCAAGAAGAGGCAGCAAGATGCAAATGAAACTTATAGCTCTTAATAAGGACATACTCCTTATTCAAAAACCATATACCTCAGGTGCAGCTCAGCGCAGCCAAAAGTTGTAGGTCTAAAGGAAATTAAGTTATGCCAAAAATTTTCACCAAAAAACTGCCTTCAATAAAAAAATTATATAAAAAAAATATGCATAAAAAAAATTAAAAAAAATTGATAATAAAAGTACATACCATGCTCTTGGATCTCCATGCTTTCACAACACGTAAACACTTGATTTGGAATAGTGACACTCAAAAACAAAGTGATTAAGTTTCGATGACTCACACGTGGTGATAATTAGTCTCGCGATGCGCTCACTTCCGATGCACAAAAGTGAATGATAACGTGACCTAATTACATTGATATTTATAGTTTTTGGAAGCTTGTTAACTAGTTACTAACTTAGTGAGTTGATCTAACCGGGATAAGCCAATGATTTTTTTTGATTTATGGCCTATGGGGGAATCACAGTGGATCGCAAAGACAAATTGTCATATGGGGCCTTAAACAACGTTCTGTTCGAAAAAGTACATTAATTCAAATAAAAATCGTTACCAAGAACTTCTCCCAATCCAATGAAGACTCCCGACAGCCCTACAAGCTGCTTTGCGTTCTCGCCCATAGACAATGTGAATCCGATACTGGGGCTGTATACTCCACTGAAGAACGACAATTCGACACCTGAAACACAATCGTAAGATCTAAGGAAGGGGACATATAACCTATATAACCTCTAAATCGGGTCGTTTCCATTGATTAAGATTTATTTAAATATTTATTTTTGTGCGTTAACTGTATTACGTTTATGTGTTTATGGCAGCTTGTGTATGCCAGTGACAATTATTTTTTTTTAGTCTCCATTTTACTATGGCTCTGGTATCATAAAGGCCACTGCAAGCTCACTATGAGTGACACATTGAGTAAATAGCTTTCTGACTGTAATAATATTACACGTTACACAATACAGCTCTGATTTCGACTCGACCAAAAAGAAGGGAGGTGATTTGAATTGAAGATGTCAAAGCTGATATGAAACTCCTTTTAACTTTACGGCCTAAGGTCGGTGTCGTGTGTTGTTGGTACCAAGCCTGTAAAGCTTTTTCACCACACTTGCTCGTAAATAGTGAGATTGCATGGGGTCTAACCTGACATAATGCCCTAAATAAAACCCACGGGCCATTTTAGTTCCCATTGCAGTCATGGTCGGTGGAGTTTTTTTTATATTTAGCACGACATACTTTGCTTACTTACAGTCAGGTTCAAGTTCAAGCAAGGAGGTTACTTGAGTTTAAAAGTCAAATATTCGCTTAAAATGTTATGTAAACAGAAATTTAGTTGCAATTTAGCTACCTACTTACACTACTGAAATAATTATTACTAAGAATTTCTTATAATTGATTTTAATTATTTTCTAGTTGATAACATTCAGCGTTAATATAATAATTGTTCATTCTTAGCACAGGCTTCACACAAAACGTTTATCTGAATACACAGTTCTATCATCATTGTCATTTCAATCTCGCCTCCTACCAAGTTGCTATCCCATGCCATTAAATTAAAATAAAAGTTCAGATGAATACACGGTTTGTTATTTCCAAAAACACGTACATATTTTTGTTGAATATAATTACTGTACATAACAATTTTGTAAATAAATTTGTACAAAACTGTCTTGTAGGTCAATGTAATTAACCTTCGTTTTTAATGACTTCTTGATTACAATATCGATTTCTTAGGTTTTCACGATATTCGGATGTGAATCACGTATATTTTTTTTAAACAAACTAACTTTTCGAGTTAAACAACCCGAAACACATGTTCCATGGTCAAGGATTGCAAAGAAACGAAACATTGTTGAATTGCATCTTGTTATATATACTCGATGTTGGTTTGTTTGAAAAAAAAACAATAATTTTTTATACATATATATGTATAAATTTTGTGAAAGTTTGTTATTATTATTTATACAAAGGTTGAATATATTCAAAAAAAATTCCTTAGATCCGGCTCATTCGAACCAGCGACATTTCGTTGAGTGAAGAAAAAACTTTCATAGTTTTCTCACAGGTGACGCTGCGGCAAAAAAGTCGTTAAAGCCAAAAACAAAGATCTGTAGCAAGCACAGAGAAATTCGTAAAGTTTGCTGACTCGTAGCTCAGTTGGGAGAGCGATAGAAAAAATGTCGCTGGTTCAAGTCCAGCCGGATAAAATAAATAAATTAACGCACACACTCAACATAGCCCCGCACTAGGGAAACCCTGAGTCGCGGGTGCCATGGACACACACATAGACAACCATAAATTACACCCAAACTCACGAGAGAAATAAATGTAGGCCATACAAACATTTCTCCCGGCCCGGGAATCGAACCTGGGACCTCTGCGTGGCAGTCCGACATGGTAACCGTTCGGCCACGAAGGCAGTTAAAGGAATTTTTCTTTTAGTTTGATTATCTGTGTATCAATTATAAAATATAGGTGATTTAGAGACATGCGAAGATAGTCAAATAGATTGATTTCTTGAATACAAAAGTTAATCGGTAAACAAAACCTAACACAATATGTAAAGAATATTCTATATGCCCAATTGGCTTACAGATTACATTACAACTATGTCTAATTATGTGGACTTACCAGTGTATATGAAAGTAACGCTAAGTAACAGCATATCCCGCGTGCAGAAAAGCTTCAAGGCGCCTTTGAACGCGTCTAATGGACCGTCGTCTTCGTGACTCACTACTTCGTTCTGAAAACATATATTTAATTTTTTTTAAACAGCTGGTGACGGTGCTGCTTGGGAGGACCAATCTCTACTCTACTCATTTAAATAATAATAGCGCACACATTCAACATAGCCCCGCACTAGGGAAACCCTGTGTCGCGGGTGCTATGGACACACACATAGACAACCAAAATTACACCCAAATTCACGAGAGAAATGAATGTTGGCCATACAAATATTTCTCCCGGCCCGGGAATCGAACCTGGGACTTCTGCGTGGCAGTCCGGCATGGTAATTTAACTAGTCATTTAAATGATCTGGTATACCACCGTAAGTTCGTAATTCCTCCCATAGGCTTTGGCTGAAAATCAGTGCCATGCAAACCATGTCTGCACAGTATAATAATACTGAGTTCACAGTTGTAACCATAGTAAGGGTGCTAACTCGACTGCATGAGTCGTGGTCTTTTTTTTTTTTTTTTTTTTTTTCCTTACAAGGCAAAGACTCCAGGTCTCTGCTACATGAAGTTGATTATGACTTCACGCATTAACTGCAAACATGCAGTCAATCTGTTAGCAGCCTTAGGGTGTTGGCGCACTACGTCCGATTCGTTCACAGTTCCGAATCCGAGAATTGATGGTCCGAAATGTCTTAGGGATAATTTTATCTCTAAGTGTACAAGCGATGTTCGTATTTTCTTAGCGTCGAATCGGACTTAGTGCACAAGCGACATCCGCAGTCCGTACGAGTTTTCTAGATCTGTATAGTCTCGGATTTGGAACAAATAGGAATCGGACGCAGCGCGCAAACGCGCTTATAGTATTTTGTTTTACTTAATATCTATATGTAAGACTTTTTCCTGTATGTTTTGTGTTTTTTTTTGTGGCAAATAAATGGAATTTGGCATTTGAATTTTAAGTTTGGAACTAAATGTCGGACTAACGCGAATATAGCGCACCCTGAACGAAACATTGGACAAGATCGGCCATTTCCACTTGTCTCCGAGTGAATTCACAAAGACAGAGCATTACGTTTATTGTAACATGTAGTAATTTTGTCGATTTATTGAATAGAGTTGGCAACAAAAATAATAATAGATTAAGTTTCAGAAATAAATAAATTTTCTAAAGGAATTTTCTTTCGCCTTCTTTCATCAGAGGTTTAGTCAGGCTTTCGATGTTGTTTGTCCAAAATAAAGTCGGTCTAAATTTGAATTTCAGTCTAGTGAGTCTGTCTTTGTCGTCAGTCAATCGGCTGGGCATCCATGGAGGCAGGATGCGACATTTCTCCCTCCAGTATCAGAACGCTGATATTATTATTAGGGTAAGAAGTAGATAAATAATAAAAATGAATCGTAAATTAAAGCTTTTGTAACTCAATTACAGTGGTTTCTAATATACTTAGAACTAATTTAAAAGGCTCTCCACTAATTTTTCAAAAGAAAAAATTGTTACATTTGCTTTCTACTGACTGTTAGAAGAAACATTCTATTATGTAACTAAGCTACTATAATAATAGCAAATTGCCCCTTAGCAAACAAGACAACTCAAGTCATTTCGAGTAATTTTAAAGGGGTTAAAAATACTATATACATTATTGCATACTATACAAGATTTTTTTGGTTATTGTTAGTAATAGGTGCTCAATTTATGTGTAACAAATAATTGTATCTGTGTTAGTTATAAAATATCATTTTTATTGATATTTACTTTTATTACGTTTCATTTTGACTTGAGTGACCTTCAAAAGTAAAAGCCACGGTTTTGGACTTAGTGATATTCTGACATCTGCTTAAAGTTTACTTTTTCCACAGCATATAATAAATGATAAATTCACAACCAAGCAGTACATCACAACATTTCAAACTACATAAAGGAGTGGACCGTATTTTCGTAAAAACCGATATTCCATTAAAGTATTTCAGCGCCAGTCAAAAACAACATGAATACAACTACAGAGGTGGCTACTACAATATACAGCATTTACTGGGATTCTGTAGCCACTGTAGGTACAGAGGAATCAGTAAAAAGCTTACATTATACTTAGATAACATACAGGATGATCAAAAACCCCTTACGACATATTTTAAAACTTTTTACAAATTCACGTATTTTTTGTTAAAATGTTTGAAAGTTTTTTTTGTTATAGAAAACGTTTACGTCGACAGTTTTTTGGACATCCTGAGCACTGCAGTAGGTTTATTGAAGTATTTATCGCTACCGTACAGACAAAAGCGGGTATACAATGCCCACAAGCGAATAATCTCGATTGATTAGAGTGATTACTTTATGTATGAGGGTGTCAGAGTGCACCTTAGCATCTTCTACGTTAGGTGCGCGACGCGCAGGCCGCAGCAAAATCAGGAATATGATGCCCACTGCACACACTGCTGTTAAAGCCCCAAATACGACATTCCGAGTTTCCACGTCGATGTGGGTTTTGCCTTGGAACTTAATAAAGACGAATAGATTCCCGAAGAAGAGACTGGAAGCAATAATTAGCATTTATAAATTAATTTACTGGAAAAGATTCCATGCCATAAATACAGTCAACATTTGATATGTCTGAGCGTTTGGAGATTTTTATGACGACCTTATACCAATTAAGTACATGATCCTTACATGTAAAGAATCGTAAGCCAAATTTCACAACTTTACAGGGGAACATTTTAATGTATTATTATTGAAAGGACTAAAATGAGCATAAGAGCCAATGCAAGCTAGCGGACGGCAGGGGAGAGCATCAAGAATGCACGCCAGCGCACACTGATCAGAGATATGGGACACTGATTACGATACTGCAACCGTCCGCAAGCTTGAATGAAGCGGCATCCACCGACATGGTGCCGGTCGCTCGGATTTGAATTAGTCGTAGCGCGCGTTCACCGGCGCACACCAGTAGATTCCCGTGCATGTTGGTGGATTCCGGTGCGTGTCGGTGGATTCAAGTGCATAACGGTGGATTAAAGTGCATTTCGACGCATATCGGTGGATACCATCCACAGATATATATCTAGATACCGTCGCATAGCGGTGAATTCCGTTGCCTACCGCATTCGTCGCATTCCGTAGTACCCTGGATCGGTCTCAGGGTCATATTCTAGAACTCTACTCAATACTCAAGTCTGGACTTGAGTATTGCAGTGAGCACTGAAAATCATACTCAAGTCCCTGCCATTAGGGTCGTATTTCCAGTGCTTGTGTTTCCAGTGCAATCCTGACTTGAGCATTGAGTAGAGTTCTAGAATACGACACTCAGAGCATTGAAATTTATATCTTATTCTTATTACAATTGGAATAGAAGTATATACACATACATATAAATATACATTGATAAATTTAATGTCCTCAGCCTTCCCGTCCGTCGGTTTGCCCTAATACCTACGATGCTTGAGGTATTGTAATTAAATTTTATACATACTCATTATTTTTCATGCTTCATAATTTTGCTGCTGTATATAATAGACCTTTAAAAAATTAAGGGATTTATGAAAAAATGCACCTATTTTTGTGGCGTTAATAAGCCTATTAAGACTTACTGGTACAGGTACTTTTGATATTGAATACCTCATACATAATACACACTATTACACGTATACATATGAATATAGACATTTTTATTGTCGTTAGATTCCAGCGCGAGCACGAGTTGGATGTAGAAACCCGAACAGTCATTATCACTACAAATAAATATGTGATAAGAGCACGCAGCGTCAAAGTAGCTTGATAGAAATGAAAGTCTACTACTTATTCCGGTACTACATTAACTTTTCTGGGAAGATGCATGACCCTATGAAAACCGAGTCTCACCTGCACTGCAACATGGCCCAGAAGACTCCAGAATTTCTAGAAATAGTGTCGGCATCGCTGTTGAGCGTGAGATAATTGCCCTGGCCCGTCCATATAGCGGCTGCGCCCATGCCGATCAGCACACTCGCGGCATACAGCAGCCATGTACGTGGGAACAGGAATGTTACTATAAAAAACCTGAAAGTAGGAATAAAATATTTATCATCATCCCGGAGATGGCTAACCTTCCTCTGGGGCTGGGCTTAGCAGAGCAATTTCTAGCTACCATCCTCGCCCAACGTAGGACCTGATGTTCTTTAATAAATTAAAAAGTAATTAATTTAAGTAAAGTAATTTATTTATTGAATATCATGATGTTTTAATGACAAATTTTTTTTGTGTAAATATTTCAATAGTATGTTATTATTATTGATACAAAGAAAAATTCCTTCGATCTGACTGGATGGGCCACCATTCTTAACCAACTGAACTACAGACTGAGTCAGCAGATCATACGGCACTTCGTAAGTTAAGAACAGTAAGACTGATAGTCGTGCAGTTAAAAGTGTCGTGTCTTGTATGGAGTTAAATGAACTTGTTCACATATACGTGAGGCGCACTATAAGTTTCCGGAATGAAAACGAAAAAATACTACAAAGGGTCAGAAATGAATTTATCTCAAAATATTCTCCGTTAGCGTTAATGCACTTTTTCATACGAATGAACCACTTTTGAAAACATTTATGCCACTCCTCCGTGACAATCTCTGAAACATATTTTTCATACTCTTGGACAGCCTCTTCAGGTGATGAAAATCGTTGACCGCGTAAAAGGCATAACTGGTTCTTAATTTTTGGAATTAAATAAAAGTCACATGGCGCCAGGTCGGGTCTTTACGCGGGGTGGCTTATTAGGTCAACGTTGTTTACCTTCAAAAATTAATTTGTCTGTCTGGCTGTGTGAGAACTGGCATTACGTGGTGCAAGATGATACGGCATTTACGGTTATTTTTACGGAGTTTGTCAATAACTTCCGGCAAACAAATGGTCGTGTACCAATCACTATTTACGGTACAACGATTCTCCAAAGCAACAGTAGTCACGTGTCCAGTTTTATTAAAAAAGAAGCAATCATCCGCTTAGAGGCACTTTGCACGCGCGCCACTTTGGTTGGTTTTGGCTCATCTCGAAAGACCCATACGCTCGATTGCTGCTTTGTTTTGGGATCGTAACTATAAATCCATGTTTCGTCACCTGTAACTATGTCCCACGCCAAATTTGACGCCCCTTCGTTGAATGTGGTAAGCATGGCATTGCACCAAGTGACAAGACCCGTTTTTTGAGCCTCAATCAAATAGTGTGGGATCCACCGACAGCACAGCTTTTTCACATCCAAATGTTTGTGTAATATTGATTGTATTTGACTCATGCCTATGCCTAAAGACTCATGTACTCATGGCACAGTATCAATGTTTTTGTTGTTCACAGCAGTGGACGGGCGACCATCACGACATTCGTCACTGAGATTCACACGCCCGCGTTTTAATTCTGCAAACCAGCTATAAATAGTCGTCTTGCATGGTGCTTCATCGCCAAAAGCAGTCTGAAGCCGAACGAAGCTCCGCTGAGCTGTTAAATTGCACTTAAAGTCGTAGAAAATCATACTACGAAAATTTTCACAAGTTCAATCCGTGGTGATGTAGACAACGAATTTCTAAAATGACGCCGCAATGTAAAAACAAGTGACAGTCAGATGAAACAAACTGTATTCTACAGCCAAAGAGTTCCATTTTCAAATGTTGTAATTACTTTTTAAATATTGTTTATGTAAGTAGCCAGTTCCGGAAACTTATAGTGCGCCCTAGGTAGTACAACACGATTAACTGAAGACTTTTTTGAAGTTGTGACGTCAGACTGTCGTGACCATAGGAAGAGCTAGAACAACAGTCGTCAGACGATAAATACAACTTCACGATAAAAATGTGACGACAGTTATTCGCAGCTTCAAAGGATTTTGTCGAACAAACGACAAGGCCGCTGCCGTGAACCGATAAATTGTCGCCACGATCTAATAGGAACAGCTAGACACGAATCGTTCAACGATAAAACAAGACGTTCACGACACAGTCACGACAGATAGCAGTGATATGGGAACAGGCTAGACGCTACAGTCGTCCAACGAAAAATAAAACGTTACGACATAATGGGAACGCGCTCTAAGATAGATAAAGCTCCTTGTGAAAGAGTGCGTCCAGGGTAGTAACGCCACCTTACCTATTTCTGCCGCCAAGCAGTAATGTAAGCATTAATGCCTTTCGGTTTTGAAGAGTAAGAGAAGGCATTCGATAGGCTGTATGCAAAATGTCATTAGCCTGAATAATTAAAGATTCCTATTGTTGTTTATACCAAGCAGACTTTGACACTATTTTTTTGATAAACAATCAAATCGAAAAACTTGACAAGACCCGTTAAGAGATCCATTCATGAGAGAACATACACATTATAGTCATTCACATTCGAATAATAAATACTAATGTTTGATGACATGTCATCGGGCCTTTTTTTAAATGTTGGGCGTATTAGGGGTTTTAATTCCTAATTTCCCAACATGTTACCGACTGCAGCCCACACCCCCTCTACACAAATGTTGCCAATTTCTTATTGTGGTTTATTAAAAATAAGTCCCCAAAAATTCTTGTTCGCATTTTTTATGACAAACGCCATGGTAAGCCAGAATAAACTTCCCAATTAGCAACCCGTTTATACGTCCCACTGCTGGGCACGGGCTTCCTCTCAAGCGCGGGTTTAGGCCATACCCCGCCACGCTGGCTCTATGCGGGTTGGGGACATCACACGTTTTCCGAGGGTTGTGAACCTTCTTCGACGTGCAGGTTTCATTACAGTGTTTTCCTTCAAGAACAGCTCAAAGTAAAATTCAAATTAAATTTCGCACATGAATTCCTAGAAACACAAAGGTGCGAGCCCTGATTCGAACCCACAACCTTTGCTTGCTGCGGCTGTACGTCAAACCTATAAGGGCGCATTTATTCGATACGAATTTCATCGACCGCGTGCGTCTAACTGTCATGGCAAAATACGCTCTATTTATTTAGCTTGTACGTTTTAACTTAAATGAGCGTCCCGGACACGCGGGCGAGCCTGGCCTTAATTTGGTCTACGCGGCGGTCGCGCGACGACCGCGCGGTTGTATTATTCAGCCTAGTCAATATAATTCAGATCCGCTATTAATGTACACGAAGGCGTGGTAACTGGGCGGTCGCCATGCGGCGGCAGCGCGAAACCTTTCTCCTCGTGTAACTAGGTGCTTAGACTACCACAGCTTAATAAACTTCAAATTATGTTTACTACGTCAAAAACAACGATTGACGTGTTAGCCGACGACGAACTTTGCCTAAGTTTATGCAAGAAATTACGAAGTAAATTCAAAGTTTAATTTAATTCCTTGCTTAAATTTAGGCAACGTTCGTTTTGTAAATACGAAAAACTTGTTGAGGTCCCCATTTTTGCTTAGTCGAACTCAAAGTTCGTTTTATAAATATCCACGCTGTGAACCTTTGTGATTTTGTTTTTTGACATAAAGATTTTATCACGATATTTTCCTTCACCATTAGAGAGATAGTGCTTTAATTGAGAGGCAACTATTCCTACAAGGCTTCCACCGCAGTGCTGTTTGTGTAATAATATTTAGTCGTGTGAAAGGAAACAACACCTTCGCTGTTTGATAAATATTTAGTTTCTAAAATTCACGTTAATTTTTGAAACAAGAATGTTAAACCATTTCCACATTATAGAAATCTGATGGTAAATATCATAACATTCATATTACATAAATAGTACTATTTCTTTGGATAATGAGAGTTGTTTAAGCCTTCGGGCTAATGTTTGCTTTGATAAGAAGTAATAAAAAATGTATATGTACGTAAAAAACTTCAGTACATAGCTATGAATTCTTTTTTGAATGTACATATATACAAACGTACGTAAAGTTTAAATATTTTCACTAGATTAAAAATGACAAAGCAATTTTAATTATATTTTTGTACCAGCATCGCGGATTGGTATCTCGGTGAAATATAAATGAAATACTGAAAGATTATGACTTTGAGGCGCTCTTATTCAAACAACCACACACAACAATAAAGACGTCCACTATTGATGTAATCTTTTGAACATCGAGCAAACGCTTCAATTCTATAATGAATGGCGCAAGAGACGTCCCGCGCCATGCAACGCGAATGCACCGCGAGATTATGTCAATGTGTGCATCCTTACACGGCGCGTGCCTGGTGTACACACATACAATACTTGTCTTATTATACTATAACTATACCCTACCTATTAATATTCTTTTTTTTATTTAATAACTCTACAAGTTTGTTATAATTATTAATACAAAGATCGAATACAAAGAAAAAATCCACAGGACTCGAACCTGTGACTGTGTCAAACCACGGCCATCGGTCTACCAACTGAGCTACAGATCGAATCAGCAGGTCTACGAATTTCTCTATATGTCTGTTAAGGATTATTGCCCAATTTTTCTGTGTTCCATCTTTGTATTAATAATACCATACCTACTTCAGGAGGAATGGTGTATTCAATGCAAGATGTCGTATTTGTTTACTCACAAGACAAATTCACAACTAAGTGTGATGCCATTTAATCAAATTGGTCCTCGTGTTAGGTTACAAGGTTAATAACATAATAAGATAATTGTAACATTATACAGACAAAACAACGAAATAATGTAATTAAATGTAATAAATTAGTACGTTGTGTGCGATGTTGGACGTAGGACGCCGTGCTTAAAGTAAGCAATCGTTGCAGTTAAAAAGCCGACAGCCTTGAGCTGAAAAGGTTCCGCCTGACTAGATCGATTGGTACAGTTCCACCAATATATCTGTGCAAATGGAGCAAACATTTACGTTCAGCGACAATGCAAAGGAATGAATGCTGTACTTACAGCTGAAAACATACCTTTAGAGGTCATTATATAATGAATGAAAATATATATAATGAATGCCTGGTTCAAAAGACTATTAATATGATATGACGACGACCTCTGTGGTCAAGTGGCTTGCGCACCAGTTTTCATAGTGCCGCCATCTCTGAGGTCCCGAGTTCGACTAACTTTTCTACATTGTCTCGTAATGGGTGTATGTGGTACCGTCGTTGTTT